CAACTCGCTAGTGACCCTGGACCCCAGCGGCCACACTTAGGGCCACCATAACATGCCCCTGAAATCCTGGAAGGGAGGAGAAGGCAGGACCAGAAGCCTGCTGCTGCCTTCCAGCGCCAAGCTCTGCCCAAGGCTGGGCATCCCCTCCTACCCTGGGTATCACTGGCACAGGCCTGGCCGTACACACCCGGGAGCCCTAAACAACGCCCGCACTCTGCTCTTCCCACGTTCCTGTTCCTGGGGGTCACCTCTGGCACCTCTTAGCCTCCTCCACTTGACCCCTCCACTGATCACACAACTGGAGGGAAGCTCTCTCTGGCCCATGTGCCGTCCTCTGCACGCCCACCCCCCACACACACACACACACTGGCCGGTGGCTCACACTCACTGGGTCCTGGCCAGGTCGCAGCCACAGCTCCCAAGACTGTCTCCCTGCCTCCAGGCCTGTCTCTGTCCATTTGCCCTCTGTCCTACCCTGCCCTCGTTCACTGAAAGGGGGTGGCCCTCATCCTGTCCATGGACACGGGCTGAGGAACAGGCGACACGCGGGGACTCCAGCAGGACAGATCGACAGGTGCGATAGTGCCAAGACAATGGCACGAGGGGCGGGGCACCCTCAGCAGACCATTCCATTCGTTAGAGTGTCCCTCCTCTGCTTAAAGCCCAAGAAACGCAAATAACAGAGTTGGAGGGAAATATACAAGAGATAAGATCCAGCTCACACAAAGTTATCAACAGGTTAAGACCCTGGTAGATAATGGACAAGGAACCTGAAAAAACTGCGTACTGCATGCAGAAGGGGATGTGACGGGGGAAGCAATGCTCAGGGGAAGTTCGACCTTAGCAAAAGCGGAGAACAAACTCAAGTAGGTACACTTCCACCTGCGACATTAGTAAAATGTCCTCGCAATGAGAACACCCAGTGCTGGCAAGCTTGCTGTGAAATCGGCATGCTGGCCTGTTGCTGGGGATAATATATAGGTATGGCCCTGCTGGAAATTAATCCGGGAGTATGTATGAAGAGCTAGAAGACAAAAGACAAAAAACCCAAAAAACCCAGACCCCTTGTCTGCTTCTGGGAGTCTACCTGAAGACTGAAGTAGAAGGCAAAGCTACGCACACACGGATGGGCCCTGCGAGACGTTTTTCTGGGGAGTGAAGAACGCAAAGCCAACCAAAGCCCGCTGAGAATAATTAAGCCCAGCCTGTCCGTAGGTCTGTTGGAAGCCACTGGTGGACCACAGAGTAAGATGAGAACTTATGGGACAGACAGTGCGGTCACCTCAGAGGGGCCTCCGCCGGCTCTGTGCCTCCTTCCCCTAGGGCTGCCAGCCCAGGACTTGGAGGATGGGTCCCCATGTCTGCATGCAGGGGCTCTAGGCAGCAGGGCTGTGTCCCTTCCGGTCCTGCCCATTAGCACGGACCACCTGATGCCCCGCCCCATTGTGCTCATCCCTCAGGGCTCTCTCCGCTCTCAAGGTGCTCCTGGGGCAGCGCTGCCTGCTGCCGCCTCCTGCTTCACAGTGGCCTGCTGGGTGCCCTCCTCTGCCCTGGGGTGGGTGAGGGCAGCAGGCACCGGGGAGGTTCTGGGGACCTGGGCTGGGCTTGGCCCGGTCTGGACAGTGTGGGTGCACTGCCATGAGCGCAGACAGCTGGAGGGGCAAGGACCCCACCTGCCCTGGAGAACGGGGAACAGGGACTCCGGAGGCGTCCTGCAGCCCTATGCAGAGAGGGTCCCCTGGAGGGAGTGACGGGAGCTGGGCTAGAGGTGAGGAGTAGGAGGAGGCGGCGCTCTGCACAGCCGGGGGCAGGTGAAGGCCAGGTCCCAACCACCGCGCGCCTCCCGAGGCCTGCAGGGCGGCTGCCTGCACCTTGTTCTGGACCCCTGCGGGCAGCCCTCGCCCACGAGAGCGTCCGCGAGGGGCGTGGGGGGGGGTTCCTTGAGTCAGCGCTCAGCTCCTGCAGCTTCCGCGGCGTCT